TCATGCAACGGTTGTATCATAGTATAATGCAACCACACTTATAGAAAACCATGTTTTTAGCATTTGTATGAGTCCGAATTTTGCACACACATTCTCTTTATCCTCATAATCAAATCTTTTTTTAAAAAAATTTAATTTGCACTCTAGATATGGTAAAAATTAGTACACTCCAACAATGAATCTCAACCGTCCATTCGGTAAATTTCAAAATTAGTACCCTCCAACAATGAACACATATTTCCATATGAGCTAGTGGGCTAATTTCAGTATTTTCTTTTTTATTTTTTAGAGAATTTATCCAAATATCTACAAGGGATGCACTATTTAACATTTTATACATTTACAACTATTCTAACTCATGATCAAGTGTCTTTTGATGGGTATTTTAAAATTAGATCAAACTATACAAGTTAAATTTAAATAGTTGGTCTCTAGTAGATATTTTGATGAGTTTCTTTTATATTTTTAATTTAGGATCGTATACTATGAGGCCATTTATTTTTGGTACAAAAGGGTCACAATCGCTTTTGTTCGTTGGATGTAAAATCCAATATATGAAAGCATGTCACAACATTTTAAAAAATTATTTTCGATTTTGTATGTCTCCAACTACCCGATTTCACATCTGACAGTCAACAATAATTGGAAATGGTCATATTATACACATTTCCTTCTAATTTAAAGTAGGCTTCTAGATAACTCTCATTATCGGATATCTTGTTCTTGACTTGAGGGAATTGTAGTATTATTTACTGGGTTGGGCTTAGGATTCTGCAAACTCAGTTGAAGGCATCTATTTTGCCAAAAAATGACAAAAATGTAGGTGGGATAACAAGTATCAACAAGACTTTTCCTTCTCTATATTCCTCAAAATTCAAGATGAAAAGTCCAGAATTTTGTCAAAAACCTTGTAATATCCCTTAAAATTTGGAAACTCATAGTAGGCAAGAGCTTGAGGAAAAATCAATAAATGGGTCAAGAAATTTACTTACCTGAAGCCATCAACAAGCAAAATAAATTTCAAGAAATTTGGTACCTTGTTCCTATGCTTTGAACAAGTAAGATAAATATTAGATTTTTTGTTTTCAGTTATCTCAAGGACAAATATGTTTGGTAAACCTTATGCTTACTGATCCTTATTAGTAAGAAATAAATATTGTTTTGACCTTCTTGAAAATAAAAAGATCTTTCTTGAATTTTCATTCAAATACTTCTATCAAACAACGTTTTGACAACCCCTTTCACCGCACCCAGTCACTAAGTGAAGAAGAGACTTTGGAACAATCCCAACTACATAACAATTAAAGTGTCTATTTTTAGGATTTTCAAGTATTTATAGGTATATTCAATTGACAATTTTTTGGAGCTTTAAATTTCATAATTAAAGGTAGAAATATATCTTCAAGCCAGACTTAGGCCAAGGCCCTCAGCTTGGACTGGACCGCAATTGGGCCTAAGGTTGGCAACGAGTTGGCCCAGCCAAGCCCTACTCCCCTGGGCCGGTCATGGCCCTATCAAGGGCAGGCTGGAAAAAATTACAAGAAAACACAAAAAAATGATGAAAAAGTTAAAGGGCAGGGCCTATCTTTGCCTGGCCCAAGCCTGACCCTCTAGCCACATTTTTGTGGCCCAGGCCCTAATTTTAGAGCCAAACTGATCAGGTTGGCCTGGGCCACCCGGCCCATTGGCACCCCTACTTGGGCCGGTGCTGGTCAGGCCCAGCAAACGTTGCTAGCCCTAACCCCTGCTCCCCCTCTCTTTCTCCTTCTCTCTCCCGGCCCCATACTAGCGATCAAAGCACTCGCCTACAATAGACAATCACTACAAAAAGTTCACCCGTCAAGAAAAACATTATAAGATACTGTTAACTGTTTCAAAATAAAAAAAATAAAAAAAATATATATGGGTATATATATATATATATAGTAGTG